CTGCATCGGCAGGCGGACTCTCAACCACTGCGCCACCAGGGAAGCCCTATAAATGCTTTTTAAATACTCTATAAAGGGAGCTGTTATTACTTGCATTTTAGTTTATATTGAACATTAATCAGCCCATCAAGTTGGTCATAATTGTATTGCTGAATATTAGTCACAAACATAACATTCTTAGCGTATGACGTAAGTCACCTCCTTTTAAGAAAATAGAAGTATGAATTCCCTCAACCCTCCTGCTTCTCAGCTATCAATCACACTATACCCCTGTTTTCCAGATCCCACCTTCCTCATAACCATTTCCTTCCTACTGAACTTTAGTGACTTGTGTTTGGCAAAAATTATCTTTCTTGGTGAGTGGTATACATATTTCTATCTTTTGTGCTTTGCAGTAGTTTCCTTTCTGCTCCTCATAGGGCTTGAGTCTTCATAAATGTTTTCTCCATGAGGTCAGACTGAGGCAGAGGGCACCAGTGCCTTTGTAAGGCCAACTTTTCTCTCTCCTTCTCTTCTCTGCCATTTATCCCTTGCCCTGTTTCATTAATTATCGTCTCTCTGTCTTGTATCATCACCCTTTTACTCTAATCCTAATTCTATACTTTGACCTGACAAGTATGCTTAAGTCTCTAAAATAACTTTTCCAAATTTGAATCCCTTCTGTTGTCACTTTTTTTGTTTTTGTTTTTGTTTTGCTTCAAGGAATGATTGCCTCTAATTTCTCAGTTTCCATTCAATCCCCAGTCCATGGGGATTTATGGACTATGATTTATGAATAATCTGCTGCTTCTCTCATTGGTCATCATCCCACTCTGTATTTTTCCTTCCACAGCTGTTGTAGTACATTAATGACCAACATGTCCATCTATAATTTCTCCCTGAGATTTCATCCACTTGCATAGCAATGGAAACTAATGACTTCCCCCAACTCTCTTCTGAGCTTGAAATTCTTATTAACTGCCTTTGGACTTTCCTGCCTGGTTGTAGGTACTTCAGATTCACCTATCTCCCTAACTAAAATCTCTCTCCTCTCCTCTAGCCTGCTCATCTTCTTGTGTTCCCTATATCTATCAATGCCATCACCACCTTCCTAGTCCCTTATGCCTAAACCTCCAGAGTCATCCTTGACTCCTTTCTGACCATTCACATGTAATTTGCCACAAAGCCCTGTCAATTCCACTTCTGAAATATTCTTCTCATACCTCTCCTATTTTCCATCGTCACTCAGTCAAGTTTCTTGAAAATGAAACATAATCTGATGTGTCACTTCCTCAACCTTAACAATTTTTATGACTTTCTGTTTCCTACAGGACAAAGTCTGAAGTCCCTGGCATGGCAAACAAGGTTCTTTACAACCTGTTCCTAACCTTCCTTTCCTGCCACCAGCCCTGACCACCCTATCCTCAAGCCACCTCAGGAGTACTCACTGATTTTCTGCATAGGCCTGTGCCACTCTACATGTTGTCTCTTCCAGGAGCCCATTCACCTTCTGCTCAAGAATTATATCTTTTATGTTGTGTTTCTTTTTTATTTTATTTTATTCTTAATTTTTTATTGACATATAGTTGATTTACAATGTTGTGTTAGTTTCAGGTGTATAGCAAAGTGATTGTTATACTTTTTTTTTTTTTCCTTTTTCAGATTATTTTCCATTGTGGTTTATTACAGGGTATTGTATATAGTTCCCTGTGCTATACAGTAGGACTTTGTTGTTTATCCGTTTTATTTATAGTAGTTTGTATCTGCTAATCCCAAACTCCTAATTTATCCCTCCTTCACCCCCTTTCTCCTTTGGTAACCATAAGTTTGTTTTCTATGTCTGTGAGTTTGTTTCTGTTTTGTAAATATGTTCATTTGTATCATATTTTAGATTCCGCATATAAGTGAGATCATAACTTGTCTTTCTCTTTCTGATTTACTTCACTTTGTATGATAATCTCTGGGTCCATCCATGTTGCTGCAAATGGCATTATTTCATTCTTTTTTATGGCTGAGTAATATTCCATTGTGTGTGTGTGTGTGTGTGTGTGTGTGTGTGTGTGTGTGTTGCATATATGTATATGCCACATCTTCTTTATCCATTCATTTGTTGATGGACATTTAGGTTGCATCCATATCTTGGTTATTGTAAATAGTGCTGCTGTGAACATTGGGGTGCATGTATCTTTTCAAATTAGAGTTTTGTCTGGATATATGCCCAGGAGTGGGATTGCTGGATCATATGGCAACTCTATTTTTAGTTTTTCAAAGAACCTCCAGACTGTTTTCCATAGTGGCTGTACCAATTTACATCCCCACCGTATGTTGCCTTTCTTGATCATACAAAATTAATCAGTCCTGTAGCACTTTGTTCACATCTCTAGTATAATATTTCTCCTATGTTAAAACTATCTCATGAGCTACTTAAGGACAGCACCTAGATCTTTTTAATTTCAGTATTGCCACAGCAGAATACCTGGAATATAGAATTCCGATTACTTGTGGAATGAATAAATTGAAAGTCAGAGGAAAGAGGAAGCCCACATTGAGTGTGCAGAGCTTCCATGTTGTCTTGTGAATGGCAAATTGAGAGGGCGTTAAAAACTTGATTTCTGCAGTCTGGCGCACCTGGGTTCAAACCATTTCTGTAACACTTACTAGCCTTGCCTGTAAAGTGGTGATGATGAGGTGACTGTGAGAATTCAATGTAAAACACATCTCAGGGCTCCCCTGGTGGCCTGGTGGTTGAGACTCTGCACTCCCACTGCCAAGGGCACAGGTTCAGTCCCTGGTTGGAACTAAGATCCTGCAAGCTGTGCAGTGCAGCCAAAAAAAAAAAAAAAAAAAAAAAACGGACATATCACAATCCATAGTACCTTGTAATAATTTTAAGCTATTATTAAGCGTGTTATGTATTTTTATTGAATAATAGTATTCCTCTGTAGTGATACTTGGTTAAACTCTAGTCAAAAATGAGGTACAAGAGTGGCATGTTCTCACATGAGCTTCCTCAGAGAACCCTGTCTTAACCAAACTGATTTTATCTTATCAGCAACAGTGACTATCAGTCTACTTCCATCTCCTGTTTTATTTACTTCTCTGTTATTTTTCTCCTTTTGTCTTATTATTTTTATTTTGCTGTTGTTGTTAGTGCTCTTGGGATTCATCCTACCCTTTACAAAAAGTGAGTTTTAGATACAGTAATACCAAAAAGGAAACTGAACTTGAAGAATAGGAAAGGATAAACCCAGGATAAGGATTTATAAGTAACAAAGTGGTGGTTAGGTTAAGAGGAAAGTAGAATCTAAGGAAGTTCTACTTCCATTCCTTTATTCATCGCATATTTATTGTTCTCTTCCTCTATACAGGGCAAGATGGGAATGGGGTGGGGACAGGGTGGAAGGGCATCAGAATTAAGGCCTAGTTTCTCTTTGTAAAGGTTTGTTTTTAATTGAATATTTTTTTGAGATAACTGTAGATGGTAAGAAATAATACCGAGAGATCCCTCGTAAATCACTTCAAGGATTTTTAAGTCTTATTAATAATGAAGGTGAGGGACTTCCCTGGTGGTGCAGTGGTTAAGAATCTGCCTGCCGATGCAGGGGACATGGGTTTGAGCCCTGATTCGGGAAGACCCCTCATGCTGCGGAGCGACTAAGCAACTAAACCCATGCACCACAGCTACTTAGCCTGCACTCCAGAGCCCGCGAGTCACTGCTGCTGAGCCCGCACGCCACAACTACTGAAGCCCGCGCACCTAGAGCCTGTGCTCTGCAACAAGAGATGCCACCGCCATGAGAAGCCCGCACACCACAATGAAGAGTAGCCCCCGCTCACTGCAACTAGAGAAAGCTCGCGTGCAGCAACAAAGACCCAATGCAGCCAAAAGTAAATAAATAAATGTATATATTAAAAAATAATGATGGTGAGATAGTTCCTTGTATAACTGATATGAAACCACAGGTAGAAAGCACTTCATAATTTTGAAAAAGGTGAGTGTACTCTGCTTGCAGCTGCAGCAAGTAAAGAAGGCTTCATGCAGGTGTCGTTTTTAAGTCAAACCTCAAAGGATGGGTACAATTGTATTAGATTGAGAATGGAAGGTGAGAATGAGGTAAGCCACGAGCCAGGTGAAAGGGAGGACCTGGGTTCCTTCAGTGGACAGTGGTAAATAATCTTGGCTTTTAAACTGCATACTTCTTGTAAATTGATTCTTTCTTGCCTCAGGTTTTTGGAACTCATGTAATAATGGGCCTATTGATAATCTCGGGCCTGTTGATAATCTCGGGTCTAATCATTAAATTTTCTGGTTTTGATACAGAGCACCTTGATTCAACTGGGAGTCTAATTTACTGAACAAGTCTCTCTTGTGCTTTTAGAATGACAGTAGAGAGCGGCATGAGCACAGCAGCGAGAGGCGGAGGCATGGCAACTCTGAGTCGCTATCCAATGGCCGAGCCCCTGGTAACTCACAGCAGGTGGTGGAACAAGAGGAAGAGGAAGATGAGGAGCTGACTTTGAAATATGGCGCCAAACATGTGATCATGCTCTTTGTCCCCGTGACTCTCTGTATGGTGGTGGTCGTGGCCACCATCAAATCAGTCAGCTTTTATACCCGGAAGGATGGGCAGCTGTACGTATGAGTATTGTGTATCATTATGCTCAAGGCCAGCGTAGCTGTCCTTCATAGCATGTCATCACCACCTTGAAGGCCTCTGCACTGAAGGGACATGAAGGCTAGGGAGTCCATCCTCTCTGATGGCCAGAAGCAGATGATGCTTTAAGTAGAGAAAATGAAAGCTGCAGAATTATATTTTTTTATGTGGTGTCCCTAGATAGGGTTGAATTTATTTGGAATTGAGCAGTTGAGTAGTGATTTTACCACCTCAGGGCCACTGGGCCCATTGTTCTTCTCCCTGGAATGTTCTTTTTCTTTTCTAACTTTGGTGGATTAATTCCTATCATCCTTCTCATCTTGGCTTAAATGTTGAGTCCTAAAAGATAACTTCCCTGATCCTCCTAACAGAATTAGGTCCTTGCTGGTATCCTTTCTCATAGCAACCTGTTCTTTTTTCACTTGTTACAATATGCAAGTATATATTTATTTTCATTATTTAATGCTTGGTTTCCTTCTGTACTATGAGGCCTGTGAGGGCACTTTATTTCCAGAGTGAGGTATGTAATAAATGCTCAGCAAAAAAAAAAGTTGTTCAGTGAAAGGATGAAGAAGTAATGCAGGCTGGCACTGTGTTTGTGGAACTGTCATGTAGATTTCTCTGGTGCTGTTGGTGTCGACCCTTTGTCTCCAAGAAAAATGCTTTGATTTAGATGTCACCTAGTTCTGTCTCTAGGACTCTTGTGGGGCTCAAAAAGTTTTAAATGAATTTCGAAATTGGCGAGTGTCTGGAAAACTCTGTGGGGTTCTGAAAGCCAAGCTTTTAACCTTTTGGGAGAAAGGGTAAGACAGTGAGTGAAGGACAGGGATTGGAAACAATAACCAAAAGAGGTTGGGGAATATTATCTCTGTAAGTTAGAGTTAGGTTTGGCTGCATATTAAAGAACAGGGGTTAGCAAGCTATGCCCCACAGGCCAGATCTGCCTGCCACCTCCTTTTGTAAATGAAGTTTTATTGGAACGCTGCCATGTCCATTCGTTTATATATTGTCTATGGCTGCTTTCATACTACAGTGGCAGAGTTGAGTGGTTGCAACAGAGACCATATGACACACAAAGCTTAAAATATTTACTCTAGTTTTGTACAGAAAGTTTGCCGAGCCCATTATAGAAAATCAAAACAGGAAATTCCATGGTGGTCCAGTGGTTAGGACTCAGTGCTTTCACTGCTGGGGCCTGGCTTCGATCCCTGGTTGGGGAACTAAGATCTTGCAAGCTGTGTGGTGCGGCCAAAAGAAAGAAAATCAAAACAACTGGTTTGAATGATGCACATATTTTCTCTGTCTCCCACAGAGTAGTGCAGAGGTAGTAGTTCAGATTGTGTAATGGCTTCTCTTCATCAAGGACTGAGGCTCCTTCATCCCTTCTTTTTTGGCTTCTACCCTCTAGGTCATTTCGGGGTCCAGTATTGGTGCTGGAGCCCCAGACTTCATTCAGACAGCAGGAAGGAGTGGGGGAGAAAAGGACATGAGACGTGACTCTCAGCAGAACTAATTCCTCCCTTAGAAATTCCACACAACACATCTGCCTATAACTCATTGGCCATTACTTATTCTCATGGCCACACATAACTGTAGGGGAGGCAGAAATAAAGTCTTCTACTGGGAACATTGGTACCTGGGATAAAAGTGTTTTTATGTGAATGAGAAGCAAGGGCAAGCTGGATATGTGACATTATCTCAAGACAACTTCAGTTGCAGTCACCGTACAGCTGAAGGATAATTATCAGCCATTTTACCTTCCTCTGACAACCACTTGTAGCCTATGTAGTTTATGGCAGAATCTGGTACTTTTTTTTTTTTTTTTAATTTTTTCAGAGTATAGTTGCTTTACAATGTTGTGTTGGTTTCTGCTGTACAGCAAAGTGAATCAGCTATACATATACATATATCCCCTCTTTTTCGGATTTCCTTCTCATTTAGGTCACCACAGAGCACTGAGTATAGAGTTCCCTGTGCTGTGTAGTAGGTTCTCATTGGTTAACAGAATCTGGTACTTTAACAAATCACTAATAAGCTGTGGAGAAAGAACATTTGATGAGGTAATTATTTCGGCATAAATCATCCACTAGATGGAGCCAGTGTCTGGCTCACATAGGTCCACCTCCATATTTTAACTATCTCCTTTTATTTTGAAGGACTTATTTTAGCATATAGCTATTTTTATTAGGTTAAAAACTCTTGGTTAGATTGATGAGATGGAAAAAAGTGACTTATATCAGTTGAATCAAGGAAACAAAACTGGTGTTGGAGAGCATGTAGTTTGGAATCTCCATTAACACTTACCTGGGGCTTTTGTGTTTTATTTTATTTTAGAATCTATACGCCATTCACAGAAGACACCGAGACTGTGGGGCAGAGAGCCCTGCACTCAATTCTGAATGCTGCTATCATGATCAGTGTCATTGTCATCATGACTATTCTCCTGGTGGTTCTATATAAATACAGGTGCTATAAGGTGAGCGTGAGACACAGAGCTTTGCTTTCCACCATCTTCTTTTCATGGTTGGGTTTTGTTGTCACCTTACTTGGTCTAGTAAAGAAAAAGGTCTTATATTCTAGAACTAAGTTAATTTTTAGTTTCCCCCCTCATTTGTGGAACATTTAAAAAATACAAAAAGGCATAAATGAAAAACAAATGTTTTCATATAATATCACACTCTAAATGGTTTTAACATTTTGATTTGCTGTATACTTCGGACATTCCAGAAGGATATATCCTGAACCTTTGTGAATTCCCTCATTGACAGATAGCACTGTAGCATATGATTGTCTCCATAAGATAATGTATAACTACAAAAATTCAGATTCTCAACTTGAGTACAGAACAGCAAAGCCACCTTCAGCTGCTGTTGTTAAACTCATTGGTGACTGGCCGAATTCCCGGTTCTAAATTCATAGATGTCCATTCCCTCTCTCTCTCCTGCAGGAACACAAATTCTTTGCTTGGGAAGCAAAGGCAGGGGAGGTTGTATAGGAAAGACACAGGCCCAGCCCTCCCAGCCTCTGGTCCCCTACCTCACTCTCTACCTAAGTGACTTGCTTGTGAATTTCAGCTACCTGGCGCGTGTTTCAGATTCATGCCTCAGAAAAAGGACAAATTATTACAGGTCATGAACCTTTAGGCTCATTCTCAAATAAAAGAAATATTAACTTTTCAAATATTGAATTCTACTCTCTTTTTAGTATTTACTTCTGTATATTCTTTAACATGGTTAAAATCAAATGCATAATCAGTATGTGTCCTTTTCTAACTTTTACTTTGGCATAAGCATTTTTCCATATTATAAATTCTTAGCAAATATGTCTAATGGTTACATAATATTTGACTCAATGAGTGTATTGTAATTCACTTCCCCTAATTTGGACATTTAAGTTGTTTCCAGATTTTCGCCCTTCTGAAAAGCAATGAATGTCTTTATGCATAGAACTTTTCCATTTTTCAAATTATTTCCTTAGGGTAAAATCCTAGGCACAGAATTTCTGGAGCAAATTATCTGCATATAAAAATATGTCTTGCTATGCAGAATTTTGTTTTCAAGATGATAGTATAAATTTGTACTTAACACTGGTAGTGAAAGAGGCTGTTTTACCCCACCTTCACCAGTGTTTAATTTTTTTAAAAAAATCTGTGCTAACCCTCATAGGCAAAGCAAAAATATCTTAATTTGCATTTAGTTGATTATTAATAAGATGGAATACCTTTCCAGTGTTCACAAACTCTAAAATTATACAGAGTTTAACCTTGTTTGTTGAGTGGGTGGAAGTATTAACCTAAGTGATGGCCACTTGCAGTCTGACATCAGAATCTAGAGATTGAAGACAAAAGATGTGTGTGATGGCGACAGGTAGTCATCAACACTCAGAGAGCCAAAGAGCAAATGATGTAAACCCATGTTGAGAAGCATACTCCTCCCCCTGCTTAAATATGTCTCAATTACTTTATCTTTTTTTCCCACTATATATATTTGTTTACATATAAGTGTTTACCTGCCAGTTCCATTTCTCTGCTTTATTGGACTTTCTTTGTGACTTGTATCTGGATTATATGCTACTTTTGTTCCTCACATGTTATTGGGAGTCACCTGGGGTTTTGCATTCTTCTTTGGTGTTAGGAGACCTCCTTCTGCTTTGCTAGCAGGAACTTAGAGGGCTTCTCCTGGAGCTCATAGTCTTGCTAATGTCCACTTGGGTTGTGTTGAGTTCAGGTTGAGGAGGGTAGTACTGGAGGGAAAAAGTGGTAAACTCATCGCTGGCTTCCTGGTACTTCTGACTCCCCAACCTACTGGCAGCTGGTCGCATTCGATCCAGGTTTTGTAGTTGTATTCGGTAGGTAGAACTAGAATTTATCCTGATGTATTTTTGGTCAGTTTTGTGCATATTTTAGTTAATGCTTCATATTAGACAATCTAAAAGGCTTATACTTAGCTGGATTTCCACGTTCACCCATTCATTTTTGTGTTGTTTTCTTTTGCTTTTTAATATTCAAGTCTTAGCAAACACAGCCAATTCTATAGAAACAAGTTGTTGATTTTGACTCCTAGTATAAAAATAAAAGGAGCTTTTGAGTCAGAAATTCAGAAACTTGCCAGGACCTGTTTGGAAATAAGCCCTGAGGATTTGTGTGTCAGTGGTTGATTGTGCAATGTCTTTGAGAAGCATAAGAAGCTAAAAGACCAAACAAACCTTAAAAAGGAAGAAATGGAAAAGGCAGTTAATTATTACATATCATTTGTTATAGATGAAACTGTATAGCTTACTAAAGTCATATGATTTCTGGCCTAGATAGTTCAGTGTTTAGAGGAGATCCTTGCTGTTCTGTACTGAAGCAGGGGCTCTTTTCTTTCAGAGCCTTTAGCACAGGAAAGCTGAACTAGGGATTGTAGCAAGATGAGATAGGCCTGTTTTACCACCTGATGTTCTAGAAAAAGGGAAGGTGTTATTTAGTCATCATCAGAAGAGGCTTTGAATTTAGGTAACAATTCAGAAAATCATAACATCAGTGATTAACCTAAATAAGAAGACCATTTACAACCATTATTACAGGCAGAGGGCTAATATTTTTACCATATGAAGAGCAGTTACAAATAATTAAAATTATGAACATCCTATTAAGAAATTTAAAAAATCCAAGCAGAGAAATTATAAAGGAAATGTAGATGGCCAGGAGAGGGAGAGGAAGAGAGAGGGAGAGAGAGGTGTATGTGTATTTTCTCACTAGCAAAAAATATATATATTAAAATAACAAATGAACATATTTAACTTATTGACTTGGTGAAGGTTAATCAGGCCTTTTTTGTGGAGTCACTAAGCCAGTATGTATCAATAGTCAGTAATTAGAAAATGTTTGTACACTTTGGTTCTGTATTTTGCTTTCATGATTTATCCCAAAGAGTTAAAAATGCTGGAAAATATTTGCATACTAAATATTACTCCTAGCACAAAATATAATTGGAAAAAGAAGGAAAACCCCACAAATTCCATGCATAAGGGAAAAGTTAAATTGTGGGTTCATGCATGTAAGTAGACTATTATTTAGTTATTTAAAAATCATATTTAAAAAAATATTTGGTGGGATGAGAATTTATCTTTAATAAAAAATTAATTTAAAAAGCAGAATGTAAAATTTTCTATTACCTGATTCTAATTTTTTTAAAAGGTCTTTACATATGCAGACAGAAAACATGTCTGAAAGGAAATGTTAATGTCAACTTTGGTTCTCATTGGTCAGTGGGAGTTGTTTTTTCTTTTAGTGTTTCTATATTTTCTATATGTTATAAGCATATGTTACTTTGTATTCAGAAAAATGCTGTTTTTTTTTTTAAATAAAAAACATTCCCATGTTCCCTTGCCCCTTCCCCCATAAAACAAGGTAAAAAGCATTTCTTAAGAAAGTGGAGGATTTCTGGTACATAATATTTACTTTAACCCTTAATTTGGAGCTCAGTATGGAATACCAGTGTACATCTCCCACTCTTTAAAGTTTTTCTGTTTTGTGATATTTTATATACTTTTTAGTTTTATAACTTGGATTATTTCTAAAGCTAAGACTTGTGATGGGCTGAGATGCAGGTGGGAAGATTCATTTCTTTTTATTATTATTTTTTTTGCAGATGAACTAGAGTAAGGACTCCCTTCAGAATATTTTGCTGAAGTTGAAGTACTTAGAGGGAAATGTACAGGTGTCTTCAGTTTACTTTGATATGTATTAAAATGGGCTAATGGGTGGAGAGATGGATAGATGTGTTGCAAAGCAAGTACAGCAAAATGTGAATGGTAGAATTTTGGTGGTATCTGGGCAGTGGTTCACTGTGTGTTTGAAAATTTTTAGAATAAAATGTTAGGGGAGGGGCTTCCCTGGTGGCGCAGTGGTTACGAATCCGCCTGCCAGTGCAGGGGGCGTGGGTTCAAGCCCTGGTCCGGGAAGATCCCACATGCCGCAGAGCAACTAAGCCCGTGCACCACAACTACTGAGCCTGCGCTCTAGAGCCCGCGAGCCACATCTACTGAAGCCCGTGTGCCACAACTATTGAAGCCCGCGTGCCCAGAACCTGTGCTCTGCAACAAGAGAAGCCACCACAGTGAGAAGCCTGCGCCCCGCAACAAAGAGTAGCCCCCGCTCACTGCAACTAGAGAAAGCCTGCGTGCAGCAGCGAAGACCCAACGCAGCCAAAAATTAAATAAATGAATAAATAAATAAATAAATAAAAAATGTTAGGGGAGATTTTTATGGAGGAACACCAGATATTAAATTTGTTGTATTCGGATAGTCAATTTAGAATATTTAAATGTCAAAGGAATACCAGCTTTAGTGATGTAAAGCCACTCTTTTGACCTTTTCCCAAATTGTAACATTTTATAAAATTGTTTTAAAGAGAGAATTTTTAAGAAATATTTTCTTCAAAAGAATTAACAATCACAGATCACCTTGAGTGATCAAAATGGAACCACAAGACAAAATTAACATGGATTCTAATGTTAACATTAGTAACAACTAGGTTTTGATAGCTTAGAGTGAGATAATTGGAACAACTGGATCTGGGAGGTGTGTGGGGGAGATTTTTTTCTTAAAAGAAGACAAAATAATATTCTTGATTTGGAGCTTTTCTTCTCTCCTTTTTCTTTAAGGTTTGATTTGTTCTTTTCTGATTAAGAGATACGTTTGGGAAAGTTGTTGATTAAGTAACTCCTGTCATTAAACAATAAAGTTCATTGAAAGCATAAAGCATATTATGGGTGTATCTACCTCAAAATAATTTCACTTTTGGTTAAAAATTACCTGACAATTTATCATGCTTCTCCATTCTATTTTTTAAAACCCCAGACTCTTTGGGTTGTATAGTATTTTCCCCAATATACTCATTACATAAAATTACCATAAATTTTTTTTATCTTGTGTAATAGATTATAAAAATCAAGTTGTGGGGACTTCCCTGGCGGTCTAGTGGTTAAAACTCCATGCTTCCACTGCAGGGGGCACGGGTTCGACCCCTCGTCAAGGAACTCAGATCCCGCATGCCACATGGCGTGGCCAAAGAAATTAATTATTTAATTAATCAAAAATCAGGTTCTGTTTCTCTCTCTCATATTAATAAGCTGTACATGAGTAATAATGACTAATATTTATATAGTTCTATATGAATTCTGCATAATATTAATGGACTGACATATAAGTATTAACTTATTAATGAACCAAGTAAAATAAACATAACATAGCAATACTTATTGAAACCTCAGACTCAATAATACTTATTGAAACCTCAGAATATTCTTTTATCAAATGGTTATGTAATTTAGACGACCTATTTTCTCTGTACAGTTAAAGTATGTGTACATAGGTCACTTAACTGAATATCTGATTTTCAGTTTTATTGATTTATCAATTTTATCAATTTATTATCAATTATTTATCAGTTTGTTTATTTAAGAAATACATCAAAATTCCTCCATTGAAAATATTGCTGCTTTAAAGTTTAAATGTTAACTGTTGACTCTGTTGATAATTTTTTTAATCAAAGTATAGTTAATTTACAGTTTTATATTAGTTTCAGGTATACAGCATAGTGATTCGTTATTTTTACAGATTATACTCCATTAAAAGTTATTACAAGATAATGGCTATAATTCCACGTGCTATAAAATATATTCTTGTTGCTTATCTATTTTATACATAGTGGTTTGTACCTCCTAATCCCATACCCCTTATTTGTTTTTGTTTTTTTATTTTTATTGGAGTATAGTTGATTTACAATGTTGTGTTGGTTTCAGGAGTACAGCAAAGTGAATCAGTTATATGTCTATATATATCCACTCTTTTTTTTTTCAGATTCTTTCCCATATAGGCCATTACAGAGTATTGAGTAGAGTCCCCTGTGCTATACAGCAGGTTCTTATTAGTTATCTATCTTATATATAGTAGTGTGTATATGTCCATTCCAATCTCCCAGTTTATCCCTCCCCACCCTTATCCCCTGGTAACCATAAGTTTGTTTTCTACATCTATGAGTCTACTTCTGTTTTGTAAATAAGCTCATTTGTACTCTTATTTTTAGATTCCACATATAAGCAATATCATATGATATTTGTCTTTCTGTGTCTGACTTCACTCAGTATGACAATCTCTAGGTCCATCCATGTTGCTGCAAGTGGCATTATTTTGTTCTTTTTTATGGCTGAGTAATATTCCATTGTATGTATGTACCACATCTTCTTTATCCATTCATCTGTTGATGAACATTTAGGTTGCTTCCATGTCCTGGCTATTGTAAATAGTGCTGCAATGAACATTGGCATACCTCTAATTTGTACCCCTCACTTCCCATTCCCCTTTGGTAACCACTAGTCTGTTTTCTATATCTGTGCATCTGTTTCTGTTTTACATGTACATTTATTTGTATTACTTTTTAGATTCCACATATAAGTGGTATCATACAGTATTTGTCTTTCTCTGTCTGACTTATTTCACTAAGCCTAATACTCTCTAGGTCCATCCACATTGCTGCAAATGGAAGAATTTTATTCTTTTATAAGGCTGAATAATATTCCTCTGTGTGTGTGTGTATATGTGTGTGTGTGTGTGTGTGTGTGTGTGTGTGTGTGTGTGTGTGTGTGTACACATCTTATTTATCCGTTCTGTTGATGGACATTTGGGTTGCTTCCATATCTTGCCTGTTGTAAATAGTGCTGCTATGAACATATGGGTGCATGTATCTTTTCAAATTAGTGTTTTTGTTTTTCTTGGATACATACCCAGGAGTGGAATTGCTGGGATATATGGTAGTTTTATTTTTAGTTTTTTGAGGAACCTCCATACTGGTTTCCACAGTGACTGCACAAATTTACATTCCCACCAACAGGGTACAAAAGTTCCCTTTTCTCCACATCCTCGCCAATACTTGTTATTTGTGGTCATTTTGATGATAGCTATTCTGACAAGTATGAGGTGCTAACTTGTTTTGATTTGCATTTCTCTAATAATTAACAATATTGAGCATCTTTTCATGTGCCTGTTGTCCATGTGTATGTATTCTTTGGAAAAATGTCTCTTTAGGCCTTCTGCCCATTTTTTGATTGGGTTGTTTGTCTTTTGACATTGAGTTGTTTGTTTTGTTCATATATTTTGGATATTAACCCCTTGTCAGTCATATCATTTGCAAATATTTTCTCCCATTCCGTAGGTTGTCTTTGTTTTGTTTTTTTTTAACACAGTAACCCTTAAAATTTTATTTATTTATTTATGTTGGCTGCGTTGGGTCTTCATTGCTGCTTGCGGGCTTTCTCTAGTTGCGGTGAGCGGGGGCTATTCTTCATTGCTGTGCGCTGGCATCTTATTGTGGTGGCTTCTCTTGTTGCAGACCATGAGTTCAAGGTGCACGGGCTTTGGTAGTTGTGGCACGCGGGCTCAGTAGTTGTGACTCACGGGCCCTAGAGCGCAGGCTCAGTAGTTGTGGTGCAGGGGCTTAGTTGCTCCGCGGCATGTGGGATCTTCCCGGACCAGGGCTCAAACCTGTGTCCCCTGCATTGGTAGGCGGATTCTTAACCACTGCGCCACTAGGGAAGTCCCATAGGTTGTCTTCGATAATTTGTTTTTTTTAATGTATTCTTTTCTTTTTAAAATTTTACCTATTTCTAAAGGAACGAAGGTCTACATGTATTTTGGTGAAATTTCTATTTATATTATGAGTAGTTCAGCACGAAAGAGTTCTGTTATAGGTATTCACTGATCCCAAAGCTGCTTGTGTTTTGCCATTTGAAAATCATAACACATACAGAAGTAGTATACAATTTTTGAAGTAAGAAATTTGGATTTTTTTTAGAGTTATGGGATCTGTTAATTATGCTGAAACTCTTTTCTAGGTCATCCATGCCTGGCTTATTATTTCATCCCTATTGTTGCTGTTCTTTTTCTCATTCATTTACTTGGGGTAAGTAGTGAAATATTTGGTCTGTTTTTCAGAAATTAACTTTATTTGGGCTCTATAACTGTCACTTAAAGAAATGTACTTTATTGATGAATTATTCTTAAATTATAATTGTTTCCATGTATAGGCCATACTTGGTATATATACAACTAGTTAATATTATCGATAGGGATATTCTTTTGTTGATCCTTGTTTATAATAAGTAGAACTGAAAGAACTCAAGACTACAGTTAATTCTAAGTCTTTTCAGTAAAGAATTTACTGTATCCTTTACTTCTAGTAATAATCTTTGAATCAGAATGTTAAAGCATTTCAAGCATGTGTATAAACATGAATTGATTTTTAAACTTTTATATTGTTTCATCAGTTAGTCTTTCGCCTTTCAAATGAAATCTTACATGAGAACTTCACATATAAAATAGAAAAAAGTGGAGCTGCTCTGTTGAAGAGAGTAGAGGCTCAGAGATTTGCCTGCTTTGTCTTTCTGTCAGCCCCAGTGGCAGAATACAGGTCGTAAACCATTGTACTAGCTCTTAAATTAGGAAGAAGCAATAAAACTAAAAAATAAATTGAAGAGTTAATTCTTTGGTAGAAGCAGGGGGAATGACCATAGACAAAAGAAATAAATGTAAGAATCTCTATGAAATGGATGATTTTCTAGGAAAAAACTAATTACCAAAACTGACCACTGAAGCGATAGAAAATCTAAGTAGAGCAATGAAAAAATACAGAAGGTTGTTGAAGAGGTTCTCATCCCACCTCCACCAGTAACAACAATACCAGGCCCAAATGGTTTCATAGGGAAATTCTATTAAACCTTTAAGGAGCGGATAACTCTAATGCTATTTTAACTGTTCCAGGACATAGAAAAAGAAGAAAAGCTTCCAGATTCTTTTTAAGAAGGCAGGGTAACACTGATACCAAAACCCTGTGAATTATCAAGAAAAAGGAAACTGTGGATCAGTCCTATTTATTGATGCCAAAAGAATAACTAAATATTCACTAACAGTTTTCAGCAACAACCCTTTGAGGGTATAATACATATGACCAAATGGAGTTTGTTTGCAGAATGGGAGACTGGTTTATTATTAGGAAATATCAATACGAGTCACCATGTTACTAAGTCATCATCTCGTACATGCTAACAAGAATTTGACAAAATTCAACACTTGTCCTTGGTCAAATTCCATAATAAAACAGATGATTAGTTCTCTAACATGATAAAATATATGAATCTTATTCTAACGATTGGTATCCTCTCAGGAAAACTTCAGAAGCACACCTGTTACTGTTAGGACAAGATGAGGATTTCCTTTATCACTGTTGTTGTCAATCATTGCTCTGGAGGGACTAGTGAACGCAATTAAATAAGACAAAGAAATAGAGCTACACAATTTGGAAGAGAAGGTTAAATTAACAGTAATTAGAGGTAAAATGATTGTTTACTTGGTTTCAGAATTAACCAAAAACACAATTAGAATCACTAAGTAAATTTGGTAAGGCAACTGCATACAAAATTAATTAACATAAATCAATAGCCATCATGTAAACAACTAGTTAGAAAACATAATGAAAAGAAAAGAATCCCATTTATGAGAGCAGCAAGAAAGAGAAAATATCTAGGATTAAACAGTAATTGTTTAAGCTCTATTATTAAGAAATTTTAGGGAGTTCCCTGGTGGTTTAAAGTTTAGGATTTGGTGCTTTCATTGCTGTCGCCCAGATTCGATCCCTGGTCAGGGAACTGAGATCCTGCAAGCCATGCAGCATGGCCAAAATTTTAAAAATAAATAAAGAAAATAAAGAAATTTAAAAATGCCTCTTCAGGGCTTAAAAAGAATACTTAAACAAATGGAAAATTATACCAGGTTACATAGAAAGAATATCATCATAAAGATGTCAGTTCTCTCTTAAGTTTATTTTAAATTTTAATATAAGCCCAATAAAAATACAAATAAGATTTATTTTTAATCTGGACAAGATAATTTTAAAATTTATTTGAAAAAATAAATAAGTGAAGGTACCCCCCAAGAATCGTAAAAAAGAAGAAAACTGAGGGATACTACTCCTACATGATACAAAATTATAAAACTAGAGACTTCCCTGGTGGCACAGTGGTTAAGAATCCGCTTGCCAATGCAGGAGACATGGGTTCGAGCCCTGGTCCGGGAAGATCCCACATGCCGTGGAGCAACTAAGCCCATGTGCCTAGAGCCCGTGCTCTGCAACAAGAGAAGCCATCGCAATGCCCGTGCACTGCAACGAAGAGTAGCCCCCGCTCGCCACAACTAGAGAAAGCCCATGCGCAGCAACGAAGAGCCAATACAACCATAAATAAATAAATAAATAAATAAATAAATAACTTAAAGAACAAAACAAAAAAAATTTATAAAACTATAATAATTAAAATAGTGACACCTGCACTATAAACAGATAATCAGTAGAAAAAATTAGAAGGACTTAAAAAAAATGCTCAAATATATAAAGGAATTTAATTTATGATAAAGGTAGTATAGAAACAGTAGGCTGTAAATGGATTATTTAGTAATTGGTGTTGAGATAATTGGGTAGTCATCCAGAGGAAAATTTTGAATTTCTTCTTTATACCAGGATAAATTCCAATGGATTAAAAATTTAAATATGAAAGTAAAACCGTAAAAGGACTAGAGAAAACCGTGGGGGATGGGGAATTTAAGTATATATATATATATAATTTTGTAACTTAAAAGGTCCTTCCTTAAATCTAATGTTTTATATATAAATATATACATATATATATATATATACACACACACACACACATTCACACAAAACCCAAAAATCAAGCCAACCAACCACACCATGAAAAAAATCAGAAGATGAATGACCAACTGCTAAGTGTGTTTTCAACTCATTTTATAGACAAAGGCTAATTTACTTTATATATAAACCTCTACACGGCAATAAGATCAACAACAACCTAACAGAAAAAAAATGGGCGAAGGATATGAAAAAATAGTCAACAGAAAGAGAAAGACAAGTTACTTTTAAATATATGAAAATATGCACACCCTCCTTATAAAATTAATGCTAATTAAAGCTGTACATTAGGTTATAAAAGGATTAAATAGTTTAATAAATGTTCTAATTTGGCAAGGTTGCAGGAAAATAAACATGCACACATTGGTGTAAAACTTTGATTAAGAGCAGTTCGGCATATCCATTAAAGTTTTATATGAATATGTCCTGAACCTAGTAATCTGTAGGGATAATCATTGCAGCATTGTTTCTGATAGCAAAAGAATGGAATCAGTCTAAGTATCCATCAGTAGAAAACTGGTTAAATAAACTATGGTACATCCATACAATAAAGCCATTGAAAAGAATGAGGTACTCTAGTATACTAATGTGGAAAGTTCTACAGGAATATCATTAAGAGAAAAAACCTTGGTTTAGAACAATGTGTATGCTATCATTTGTATCTGGTAAAGAAGTATATTTATGATATATATGGACACTCTCTGGAAGGATGCATATGAAGTTAATAATAGTGCTTTCCTTTGGAGAGAGAGACAAGGTTTGGGGGGAAACTTTTTACAGTATATGTTGGGATTTTTACATTTTAGGCATGTATTACCTAGCTAAAGATAATAGTTTGGAGTTTTGGGGGTTTTTTGTTTTGAGTGCTGGGATATCTGAAATGCTTAATACAGATAGCTACATCATCCAGAAATTTTCAACATTTATTTTGAAATTTCAAAATGGAAAGATCATCTTTCTGGATAGTCTCCAGAAACCAAAGTTTGTGCTTAAATAAACGAGTGCTTTCTTTCTCCTCAGTTACCCATCTTCTATATTTGTATCTCTTTAAGATGGAATTCCCCCTCCCAAAATTAAAATACTATTTTCTTCATTATAAAAATTCATTCATTCATTCATTGTGGGAAAAATAAAGAAAGAAAGAAAAGAAGAAATGTTTTAAAAATTCCAGACTCCCATCATCTAAAGATAAGTCCTGCATCTTTTCAGGAACTACTACATCGATCTCTTGCTCTCTCTTCTCACACACTGTTTCATGTAAATGAGATCATATTTTTTTTTCAGGCAACAATATATCATGCCTATATCCCATGTTTGTGTGTATGTGTATAAAACATATATATATTTAATGGCTACACTAAATTTTATGAAAATAACACCTTATGTCCTAAGCTCTAAAATTTATTTTGCATGTTTAATTTTTTCCAATTTCAGATACTTCAAACAAGCATTTCCCAAAGTATAGAATAGCATTTTAGGTGTTATATGGCCTTTTTTTTAGTTTTTGTACTTATTTTTACAGCTGTGGCCTGTGATACTGGTTTCCCATTTATATGACTGATACAGAGTTTTCTGTTAAAATAAGCTCAACTTGAGGAAAAAAGTACATTAATTTAAAGAAAGATATAGTAAAAGTGTGAAGCTGGGATATGAATATCTAATGAATATCTGTGTTAGAACCATAGTTCTAAAAAATGTTTTGATGAAACTTATTGTATGCAAATTTTTAGATATCTGTTTAATTTTTTTCAGGGAAGTGTTTAAAACCTATAATGTTGCCATGGACTACATTACAGTTGCACTCCTGATCTGGAATTTTGGTGTGGTGGGAATGATTGCCATTCACTGGAAAGGTCCACTGAGACTCCAGCAGGCATATCTCATTATGATCAGTGCCCTCATGGCCCTGGTATTTATCAAGTACCTCCCAGAATGGACCGCGTGGCTCATCTTGGCTGTGATTTCAGTATATGGTAAAACCCAAGTCTGACATTTTGTTCATCACAGAAATACCTCCTGGTGTGTTTTCCTTCCTCTTCTAGTTATCTTGACTTAGGGAAAATGACAACAGTAATGTCCCATAGCTTCTCAGTAAATAATCAGTTAACTCTACTATCTTTTTCATATAAAGATTTCAAATTTTTTGAGGTTAAGTTCTTTAAAAATGTTTTATTAATCCCCCCAGTTTAACTCAGTGATGAGTTAGTGGAAGGATCCATAGACTGCTGGTCCTAAGACTTAGATTCAAATCCCATTGCTACCACTGATAGCCTTCATGACTTTATGGAGGTGATTCGGGCCCTTTGAGCTTCAGTTTCCTCATTTGGAAAATGGGAATAATGCTTCTCAGAGTATTTGTCGGAAAGCACTAGCAGAGTGCTTGACACACATAAAATGCTCAACTAATTTTTAATATAAAAATTAACTACTTTTTATAAGGCAACTTGGGTAGAATTACTCTTTTAAAGGTAAAACTTATTTGGGCAGTATGAGCTTCAAATTTATTAGCAACCCATGTGACATGGGTCCTGAAAAGTCAGAATATACCTTAGCCATGAATAACCAAGATGTGAACTCTGCAACTCTCACTTTGCATAAAAGCCAAAAAGAAATCCATTTTCAGAGGTCAATTTGTGGTCTCTGTATGATAACTGCAGTGTTCTTTCATCCCTATTCAAACGCTTATTAAAATGTCAGGTGACCTGTAGTAGAAAACCTCATCATTCCCCCTTGATTGATGAATAAAACATCTGTGGAAATAGAATTCGATTGGCTCTGTTCTCATATTTGAGCAGTCAGTCACAGAACTGTAGAAGTCACATACTCTTTGTGATGGACTTTGCATAGTGACCTTAGGTTGTATAGTATTTGATGGTTTGCAAAGTACACATCTTTTCATTGCACAGCTGCGATCAAGAATGCCAATTCTGCACTCCATCCAGTCAGCTGCTGGTTAATACTTTGCAGTCAGAGATTTTATCAATATGTTCTTCTGTTCCATGCCTTTTTCGACAGCCACAGTTTGCTTTCTCCTTCAAAGGGACACATTATATCTTTACCTAGTGACTCAGGTACTTTAGCAGCCCTACTACTGTTGCACAAAAGCTTTGCAGGCTGGATCTTAACCACATCCACCTTTGTCCAGGAGCACAGATACAACATTACACTGATGTTATCATCCTCTGAATAAATTCACTGGACCTACTTGGTGAGGACATACAGATATTCACAATAGAGCTCAAAAGGGAGGTGGCATTTCCCTGTACATAGTACAAGGCTCTGCCACCCCAGTTAAATTCCTGAAAGTTACTTGGTAAGCTGAGGCCTACTGCATCTCTGGCACTGTCAAGAAATAGCAGCTGACCCTCTCTGCGCCCACGATGTTAAAACAAGCCCACTATGTTTTAGGCCCTTTGGGGATCTGGAGGCAATATACTCTTCATTTACAAATTTTACTTAAGCCTATTTATACTGTTACAAATTGGCCCACCTTGAATGGGGACCTCCTACAACATAAGGTTCTAGAGTCTGTCCAAATTGTAATACAGTAGTTACTTTCGTTAGTGTCCCTTCTCCCGCCCCAGAGAATCATTCACTGTAGAGGCTTTAGCAACGTCTTCTCATACCTCCTGAAATATCTGGATCACTCACTATGATCATAAGTTGCCCACGGATCTCTGGTGTGAGGAACTACCCTTTTCAGTCCCATGCTGTACACATTTAGAATGGCCATTTCTGACTACATACCAAGCTGTCCAGGAAACAGGTTTTCACAGGCCCTGAACCTGTGAAGCTCCAAATCCATCTGCTCCTTATCTCCATATCATGGAGGTAGCATTCTATAAGCTCAGCACAGCCACCAGGGCCTCCTTGCTAAGACAGAAATGTTAGCCATATGATAGAGCTGAGTCTGGGCCCCCTGGAGTATCTCACCCATAGGAGAGGGTGGCCTCTTCTTTCCTCAGTCCCTTGCCAGTTGACAAGGTGCTAGAGGAGGTCACCCCTGTCTTGGACCCCTGGCTACCACGGGGCCCTTTGGGATCAAATGAGTGAATAAACAGCAGTGGGAGTTTGTATACTTTATGGACAGCGTCAAAACTACATGTGAAGGAGCTCACTTGGAGAGCTCTGCTTTTCATTGCTTAATCCAGGCATCCTTGATCAAAGAATGGGATCCAAGGGTCAGCAAAATTAGCTGAACCTCAGGCAGTCGTCTTAATCTGGCCAACAGTTGGCTCCATCTGTGCATTTTTACAGACCCTTGGGACATTGCAAGTGGTCTAGCCACCTGATTCTGCCAGTGGTAGCAATGGCAATTACAAGTTTTCCCTCTTGGGAAAATAACTGAGAATCTCTTGCCTCACAGATACCAAAAATAGAAATCAAAGTTATACATGTCTCAGTATGTATTAAACCCACAATACAGGCCTCCTCACTTTATCCACTTTGGAGTTCCAGATATTGTTATAATGACTATTTCACTTCTAAATATACAATGCTGGGCTCTTGAACAAGGTGTGCAGTGGAACTTTCACCACCATACTGTCTCACGCTACAGGCCTCACAAGGCACCATTATGACATACTAGAGCAAGTTAAAACTTGATTAAATGAAACATCAGGGTTGAATCATAATAAAGAGTCTGATTCCATTTTTGACATTGAAAAAATGCCAGTTCTGGAGACAGACTGCCTGGGTTCAAATCCAGACTCTTCTACTCCTATCATTTATTGGGTATGTGGCCACAGACACATTGCTCAACCCCCGAGTCTTAGTTATTATGAAGATTAAACAATATGTACAGTACACACGTATAACGGTATCTATCAGTAAATACTAGCTGTTTCTTTAAAATGTATAATCCTGTGAAGTAAGCAAGGCAGTTATTCTTGTTTTACTGCTAAGAACGTGAAGTTTGTAGAGGTAAAGTATTTGCCCAAGCTTAACACCATTTGATCTAGAATATGAGTCCTAAGTCCCATATTCTTTCTACTACATTACACTGTTTCTCCCATCAACCCTCTGTTTCTTCCATGCATATGCAAATTATCTCCACAGACCTTTGAGTTCCTTTAAAATAAAAGACTTTTGTGTCCAATATTTAGAGTAATGATTCTTAACTCCATTTCCATAAGATCTGAAGATGTCACAAAGATTGTTCTAAGAATTTCAAAACAAAATTAATTTTAATTCACTTTAATTGCTCTAAAAAATAAGGGTTTATCATTTAGCAATTCTATAAGGAGTAGTGTATTGTAAAACCAAGATAGTTACAGGACATCGCAGGTTGAAACAGGTTAGAAATCTCATTATTTCAGAGCACGGCCAATTTCCCTTTTCTCATCCCAAACAAATCAAAATGGAAGCAGTGAGAGTAGAGATTTTGTGTGGTGTGTGCATGTGTGTGTGTGTGTTTTATTGTAGTAGTAGTAGTTGTAGTAGTAGTGTACAAGAAGACATGACAACTTGCAGGTGTGAGGTTTTTTACTTAAATGCATCTGAATGATAGTAATGTCAACACAAGCTATCAAATCTTTACAAATTTACCTATATCTGTTTCCCATTATTAAATGTTTGAAATTATTTTCTGTATTTCTATACTCTAAATTTTCACGACATAGAAAATGTAAGAAAAACGGCAGTTATTGGAGAGAGATGGTGGTAGAATCAAGAATAATTTATGCATATTGCTTCCTCCTCCGAGTTGCTGTTCGTAAAATAAGACACTTTTCGGCACCACATGTATTCCGAGACCTAAATATTTGTGAAGTGCTTTTGACAGGAAAGCTAAAGAAATGCTAAACTCATGCAGAGGTTTATTAGTTATTTTGTTTAAATTTACTGCCCTCTTATTTCAAGTATCCCTAAATAGTACATATACTATTTTCAAAAAGGGGAGAAGATGAATCTTTTCTACTCTGTTCTTCATATTTTGAAAAGTTAAGTCAAATCCCCTCTATTAAATCCCTCCTAAAGTAAACCTTCAGTTTGTGGCTCATAGGTATGTTTTGTTTGGAAATGGCTTGACCTTGTTTCTGCTTTGGAAATTGACAACTGCTCTAGAATAATTGTCTTGTCATTATTCCTGCCTCTTGTCTTCAAACTGAGAAGACTTATTCCTAGAACCCAACGATGATACACTGTAAACTAACCAAATAGCAGTCAAACCAAAATGAAGTTTGCACAGGTCTCTGTGGTTTTGTGTATTTTGTTTAGATTGTCTCCATCCGCCTCCCCCATCAGCTTACCTGCTGTTTATTTCATATTAATTCAACATCTTTCTGTGTAAAAAAAATTAAACCTTTTCAATTGGTTAATTCCTCCCTCACACACCCATTTATAAGTTTAGCCAATACATTTTTCAGATGTCTTTTCTATTTTTCTTTTTCTAGATTTAGTGGCTGTTTTGTGTCCAAAAGGCCCACTTCGTATGCTGGTTGAAACAGCTCAGGAGAGAAATGAAACTCTTTTTCCGGCTCTTATTTACTCTTGTAAGTATTTCAGAATGATGTTAAGTTAGTGAACAACTCAGAATTTACAGAGATTCAAACACATGTAATTATGATCATTATCGTGGTACTTTTTCTCACCTTAAATGCATAGCATTGATGGAACTGCTGCAGATCTGTTTCCTTGCAAATTATTATCTTCTGCCTGACATTGGTTCAAGAGAGTTTTCAGTATGTGTGGAGATAGAAGAAATATTTAGATTGAGGAGCCAGTATTCTCATTTAAAATCTTATTAATCAAGAACTATTGAGTACTTGTTATATACATATATTGTAGATGGATCTTGCACTAGCATGTTGAAAGAACTGTACTTTTCCTTCAGAATGTGTTTGCCCTTTTTTTGGTTTTAGAGTCATACACATCCTAATCATTCAGTAAATATTTATTCATCATTGACCTGATCTGCTCCCACAGAGCACTGTGGAGGATATAAAGATGATCAAGAGGGACTTCCCTGGCTGTCCAGTGGTTAAGACTCCATGCTTCCAATGCAGGGGGCCTGGTTGGGGAACTAAGATCCCACCTGCCGTGGCATGGCCAAAAACTAAATTAAAAAAAAAAAAAAGATGATTAAGATACTTTGCTTTCCCTCAGAGTGCATTTGCTTCCTTTTTTTTTTTTTTTTTTTTTTTTTTTTGTAGTTCCCTGACCAGGAATCGAGCCCAAGCCCTCAGCAGTGAAAACTCAGAGTCGTAACCAGTGGACCGCCAGGGAATTCCCTTGCTTACAATTTAGAAATGAGATAAGACAAGTATATAAACAACATTCGAGGCAGACTGTTGTCAGATTATTCAGAAGGAACACAAAGTGCAGAAAGAGCTCAAAACAGGGAAAATCTAAATGGGGAATCAGAAAGGCTTCATGGAAGAGACAGCATTTGGATTGAACCTTCAAAGGGTGGATAGGATTTCAGCAAGCACAGATGGAAGAGTCATTTCCAAAAGTGGGCTTGGGGACTTCCCTGATGGCGCAGTGGTTAAGAATCTGCCTGCCAGTGCAGGGGACACAGGTTCAATCCCTGGTCCGGGAAGATCCCACACACCACGGAGCAACTAAGCCCCTCTGCCACAACTACTGAGCCTGCACGCCACAACTACTGAAGCCCGCACAGCAACGAAGACCCAGTGCAGCCAAATAAATTTTTTTTTTTAAAAGTGGGCTTGTCACAAAGAATGGCTTGGAGGCATAAGTGTGGGGCATCTTTTTCAAATTTCAAGTGTTCCAGTTGACTAGAACATAGACTACAAAATAGGGAGAGTACTAGGAGATGGGTTTGGAAAGGCACTTAGGGTAAGATCACGGATAGCTTTGAGGGACTGGTTTAGATCTCTGTATTCTATTCATGATCACTTAGGAATCATAGAAGGTTCTTAACAGAAGACTAATGTGATCAGAGCTGTGCCTTTGTAAGCTTGCAGCATTGTGCAAGATGAATGGGAGGGAGAGAGAACGGGAAGCATAACTAAACAGATATTGCCATGATCCAGGTGGAAAGTAATGAGAGTCTGAATTATGGGATAGGTAATGGCAGTCAAGGGAAAGGCCTTGATGAGAGCTTTTGGAGGTAGTTTCAGTCATTCTTAGTGACGAGTGAGAGAAGTTTAAAGCTTAAAGGAAGGATGATAAAGAAGAGAGGTTTTTCTTATTTGAGAAATCTGTGTAGTGTTGCCTGTAGCCCATATCTAATTTTCTTGGCAGGACCTGTGAGCCATCCAGGTAGAAATTTCCAGCAGGAGTTTAGAAATGAAGTACCAGTACAAAGGAGAAAGTTGATAATAGAGTTGCAGAATTGAAGAACATCAGCATGGAGGTGACAGTTGCAGCTGTGGGAGTGGATGAGTGATTCAAATCAGAGGAGAAGAGAAGAGGACACCAGGAGTAGATCTTTGTCAACTACTATGTTTAGAGAGTGAGAAATGAAGAGAGAATAGTAAATGGAACATAAGAAAATATCAGAAAATTGGGAAAACCAGCATTTTTCACTTAGCAGTAGCATGACGTTTTTCATATCAGTACATGAAATGTCTGCATAGTTTTCTCTTATATAGATATTAAATAAAGGGTATCTTTATTGATCATTTCCCATTACAAACAATGCTTGCAGAGAACATTTATGAATTTGTGAATATTATTGTACAGATACATTCATAGAAATGGAATTGCTAAGTCAGAGGATATGTGCCTTTAAATTTTGATAGATAGTGCCAGATTGCCTCCTCAAAAGGCTATACCAGGGCTTCCCTGGTGGCGCAGTGGTTGGGAGTCCCCTGCCGATGCAGGGGACACGGGTTTGTGCCCCGGTCCGGGAGGATCCCACGTGCTGCGGAACGGCTGGGCCCGTGGGCCGTGGCCGCCGGGCCTGCGGGTCCGGAGCCTGTGCTCTGCAACGGGAAAGGCCACAGCAGTGAGAGGCCCGCGTACCACAAAAAAATAAAAGGCTATACCAATTTATATTCCCTTCAGTAGTGTGAAGGTCCTAATTGACTAACACCTTCATTATCACTTGTTTGTATATGTGTATGGGAAACTAATAGACAACATCTTGTTTTAGTTTTCATCTTGGCTTATTGACTAATAACTATTAGTTAATAGTAATTAAAACTATTAGTTAATAGTAATTAATAACTATTAGTAATTAGTAACTATTAGTTAATAGTAATTAATAACTATTAATGATTATTTGGACTTTTTAATGTATTTTTTAGCTGCATATTTAAATTTCTTGTTTTATGACTGGCTTGGTATTATATTTTTCCATATTTTTAGAATTAATTTTTAATTATACAAGTAATACGTTAATACTTTATCATTGAAAAAATTTTTGAATTACAGATAAAGTTAAATTTCATTGTAACTGTCATTCCCAATCTTAATACTTTACCAAGCAGTTACTTACCAGTATTATCAGTGTGATATATATATCCTTGTGGACTTTTGGCCTATTTATCTGTTGAGTTATTGAAAAAGCAGAGTTTCAAGAAGGAGAGAATGTCAGATGCTACAAAGAAGTGAAGGATGATGAGGACTAAGTAAACCATATAGAATTTTGTGCTTTAGACATCTTTAGTGACATTTAAGAGAGCAATTTCAGTAGAATGATAGGATCAGAAGCAGTATTCCAAAGGGCGGAAAGTGTGCGTCTGTGTGTGTGTGTCTGTGTGTGTGTGTCTGGGTTTTGCTGGCACTGGCAGTGGAAGTGATACAGTGGAAAGAGACTGGGTGATGAAGAAGGAGAGGTAAGTATCACCTGCTAGTTCACAGGCAGAGCAGTGGTGACTTGAGAAGTGAACAGGTATGAGGAAAGATGGTTCCAGGAGAGAGAAGGTTGAGGGAAAGGAGCCAGTGGAGAAAGGCTTTGAAGAGACCAGCAAAAAGAAATAATTACTGGAGCAAAGTAATAAACGAAGCAGGTAGAAATAGCTCTAAGAGTTCAGTAAGAGGAATTAGATGAGAATAGTGAAAGATCCAGAAGGAAGGAAAAGACAGAAAAGCAGAAGATAGTGGAACGTAGAGAGAGGTCAAGTTGGGAGCACGTGTTAGTTCACCTCAGTCTTTCTTGTGAACTTGCTTGAAGTCCCTGTTGTACTCTATATTTTTTAATTGTGGATGTCAAAGTGAAGGGATTGTGAGTTTTAAATTTTTTCTTAGTTTTAGGATTTTACATTGTTCTACCGTTGTATCTATTGTTAGTACCACGATAATGCTGTGTAACAAACCACCTCACAACGTAATGCCTTAGGGGACTTCCCTGGTGGTGCAGTGGTTAAGAATCCACCTGCTACTGCAGGGGACACGGGTTCGAGCCCTGATCCAGGAAGATCCCACATGCCGTGGAATAACTAAGCCCATGCGCCACAACTACTGTAGCCCGTGTGCCTAGAGCCCATGCTCCGCAACAAGAGAAGCCACCGCAGTGAGAAGCTCAAGCACCGCAACGAAGAGTAGCCCCCACTCACCACAACTAGAGAAAGCCTGCATGCAGCAAAGAAGACCCAACGCAGCCAAAAATAAATAAATAAATTTATTTTTTTTAAAAAAACAATTTAATGCCTTAAAAATAATAATCAGTCACCATCACTCCTGCACCTGTGGGTCAGTTGACTCAGCTGATCAGACTTGGCTGTGGTACCTCTGCTCCACATGTTCCCTGTCCTCCTTGGGCCAGTGAGTTAACTGAAGATGTTCTTGTATCTGGAGAAACAAGAGGGCAGCAGGCCTGTTAAGTATTAGCACACTGTCATCTCTGTCCATGTGCCATTGGTTGAAGCAAGTCACGTAGCTGAGTCCCTGGTCAGGAAGAGGAAAACTGCATTCCAATCTCAGCGAGGCCATGGCAAGAGTGTGGGTGCAGGAGGGGTGAAGAAAGGATCTTTCAGTCTGCCACAACGTTAAGCATGTATGTTAATTTTATACTCAGAAAAAGGATTTACTGTTTTTAAAAGAATCATTCATATATAATATGAATTTTTAAAAACTCAAGTCTGTATAACAATCAATGTTGAGATATTTTTGCAGTAATTCCACACATATGGGAAAATATAAGCATAAACCTTTACCTCCCGTGTAGATGAAATAGGTTCAAGAAAGTATCTGGGGCTTCCCTGGTGGCGCAGTGGTTGAGAGTCCGCCTGCCGATGCAGGGGACCGGGGTCCGTGCCCCGGTCCGGGAGGATCCCACATGCCGCGGAGCGGCTGGGCCTGTGAGCCATGGCCGCTGGACCTGCGCGTCCGGAGCCTGTGCTCCACAATGGGAGAGGCCACAACAGTGAGAGGCCCATGTACCGCAAAAAAAAAAAAAAAAAAAAAGAAAGTATCTGTTCTCATGAAATACTGAATCTTTAGTGAGCATTTCATAAATCATTGAGTTTGACAGGTTTTTTTTCAAGTAGAATATACAAAAAACAGCAATATTAATCAGTTCTTTCCCCCTGAAATGGATGTAAACATTAATATGAAAAGTTTTTAAGTCAGTCCTCTCAGTTATTTGTTCTTTAAAAATACAATCCTTTGATGCATTTGTATACTCCCCAGTTAAGAGTATTCAGTTTGCAAAAGGGTCTTACCCTCAGGAAACATGTGGGCATTTTTGTTTGTTTTCTCTATCCCTTGTTTGGACAGGAAGAATGTACACCTACTCTTTGGTAGCTTTTCAGAAAACAAAGGTAACAGTTCCTTGAGGTTGACCATTATGTAAAGTTTTTCTCTGATTTCATATCAGTTTGGGAAGTTTTTAGATTGTTAATTTTTAATTCGCATATTTTTCTATTGATCTAAGGTGTTTGGTGTTAAGTTGAAAGATTGGAAAGCGGGTTTTTTAGATATTATTTTAGTAATATTAATTCATTCAGCAAATATATATTCTGCTCATGATAATTTACATCAGGGGTTAGCAAACTACTGCCCATAGCCAAATCTGGCCCGTGGCCTGTTTTTGTATAGGCCTGAAAGCTAAGAATGGTTTTTACATCTTTAAAGAGTTAATGAAAAAGAAAAGAACAAAGAAGAATATGTGACAGAGGCCAGATGTTGACCCACAAGCCCCAATATTTACTATCCAGCCCTTTACAGAAAAAGTTTGCTGACCCTTGATTTCCATGGTTAATATTAAGTGTTAAAAGAGTTTGTAGCTTTATTTTTCTATACTTGCTTAAAGAAAGAAAATCAAATAAATACCTGCTGCCTTCATTGCCAAGAAGACTACAGAAATTCGTAAACCCAGTGGTTGCCCTATTTCCTCTTCATTGGGCTTGGATTTAGTTACAGTGAATCCCCAACCTGGCTAATATTTACTTTGATCAGTTAGTCAGGTTATCATATAATGGAACTTGTCTGACCTCTGAATTACAAAGCTATGGTGAATGAGTAAGTGCAGCTATTACAGGATTTTTATCCTCTTTGGTTATGTATTTCTTTCATAAGCTATTCAAGAAGCCTTAGAGTATTAGGAAAATGGATATAATTGTAAAATTAGTGACAAAATGCCAGAGAAACAGAAAATGCCAAGTATCTTGTTTAAAATTGCTTACCATTACTGGATTGGACTCAAGTTGCTGCTGGCTTGGTTTCTGCTGTCACCCTGTATGGCACATGTTTGTAAGTATTTTTGTATTATTGTTGGTGTATCTTCAGGATAAATTCCAAAAGTGTTATTGCTGGGTCAGGGGGTAAATGTACATGTAGTTTTGTTAGATGTTACCAAATTCCCCGCCATGTTTCATCCTACCTGCAGTATGTAAGAGAAGCACCATTTTAAAGTATTCACATTGCCTCTTAATTAAAATGTGACAAGATGTGTGTGTATATCTAGAGCTATATAGATATATTGATATATATGTATTTTTGTGGAGGGGACATAGAAAAGGCAGTTGACTATCCGTTTATGTTTATTGCTTTTAACTTTTTTTTTCTTATTCCCTGTATATAACACAGTTTAGTATTATTGAAAATCCCAGAAGTAAGACGTAACATGAAGGGAACATATTTGTTGCATCTTTCGAATTACAGTAATTCATCCGATGCTTTGTGAGCCCCAGTTTGTCCTCTAATTTAGTTCCAATAAGTACTTTTCACCAGTGAATTCACACTATTTTAGGATATTCAACTAGTCGAGCTGTTGTTTCAGTGCAGTCTTGCTGGCCTGAACAATTTTCCTTCTGGGTACTTTTCAGAGATTATAAATAATAATGAACAGTTGTATTATAGCAGCTGCAGTTTGAAAGCTACAGTAAATGTCCAATTTCAGAATTTTTTTTTATCTGCCAAAATCAAAGAGAACCTTTTGTGGTTTTTATTTTTTAAATAAATTATTTAATTTATTTTTGGCTGTGTTGGGTCTTCGTTGCTGCGCGCGAGCTTTCTCTAGTTGCGGCGAGCAGGGGCTGCTCTTCATTTGCGGTGCGCGGGCTTCTCATTGCGGTGACTTCTCGTTGCGGAGCAGAGGCTCTAGGCGCACAGGCTCAGTAGTTGTGGCGCACAGGCTTAGTTGCTCCACAGCATGTGGGATCTTCGCGGACCAGGGCTGGAACCCGTGTTCCCTGCATTGGCAGGCAGATTCTAACTACTGCGCCACTAGGGAAGTCCCTGTAGTTTTCTCTTTAAAAAAAAAAAATGTTTATTTATTTATGGCTGCATTGGGTCTTCCTCTTCGTTGCGGTGCGCAGGCTTCTCACTGTGATGGCTTTTCTTGTTGCAGAGCACGGGCTCTAGGTGCACAGGCTTCAGCAGTTGTGGCGTGCGGGCTTAGTTGCTCCACAGCATGTGGGATCTTCCTGGACCAGGGCTCAAACGCGTGTCTCCTGCATTGGCAGGCGGATTCTTAAGCACTGCACCACCAGGGAAGCCCCGTCCCAGTAGTTTTTAATATGCATTTGCTTCTGATTGTTAGGGATTCTTATGGTGACATTAAGAAGACTGGTGATTTGTGTGGAGAAATAACAGCCTGCTCTCTATTCGTGAGCTTTCCTTCTGTGTTTCCAGTCCTTACCTGGACTTCTGTCTTTCTCAACAGCAACAATGGTATGGTTGGTGAATATGGCAGAAGGAGACCCAGAAGCCCAAAGGAAGGTATCCAAAAACTCCAATTATAATGCACAAAGTAGGTGGCTTTTATTTGGTAATTTCCTGGTTTTCACGGTCATTGTCATCTTGAGTTATGAAGCAATGATTTTTTAACCACTTTCTTTTGAGAATCTCCTGGAAGCTGTGGTAATACCTAGCAAACACAGATAAATATTTGAGTTCACATGCTGCAAACCCAACAATCAGCCAAGGCACCCTACGTTAAGAATTTCTGCCATTAAACACCATTAATTCCAGTATGGAAAGGTTCAAGTTGAGGCTATGGTTTTAAAAAGGTAGAATAAACACTCTCTTCAAACATGTAAAAATGAGAACCTCTTGTCTGACAAGTCCAGAGTAACTGAAATATAATTTGATTTGAGTTGTGATAATGTTTATGTTGAGAAGATAAAATATTCCAGGTGGACATGACTTTCTGGAGGAGGGTAAGAATGATGACCTAGGATGGGAGATTGAAAGGCCCACTTGTGGATACTACAGAAGATGTTAAGGCAAACACAAGTTAGGAGGAGTTATAATTAGAAAAGTTGAGGAATAACAGCACAATATCAATAGTCAAAAAGAAAGGAAAGCTTTTTTTTTAAGGAAAACAAGGACTAACCTTATGAGGAAGCTGACAAACAGAGGCGGAATAAAGGTTTTGGTCCGAGAAGGAAAAAGGGCCTTAACTGAGTTGCTGTTTGTCAGGAAAGGGAGAGTTTAGGTTTTCTAGAGCCAATAAAACTGCTGTTCTAGCATTTGGGTAACTGCAAGGAGGACGCTTTCAACTTAGAATTTGCGTATTTGGGACCGAAAGATATTAGGCCCATTCTGCAGTGAGCGAGGCAGCAAAACAGGGTGGCATTAAACCAGCAGTAGACCTAGTAGAGAAGTGGGAAATAGAGGAAACAGTTGCTCCAGGTCTGGTTGTTGTGTTAACTTGTTAAGCTAAAGAAAATTGAAAGATTAGTTGTCTGTGAGTATACATGTATATATATGTGAGTATGAGTGTCTTTTGGGTACATCAAGATTTTGTTCTTTTGACAAATGTTGATTGAGCACCTAACTATGTGCCCAGTATTTGTTAGGCACTGGGGATATAGCTCTGAACGAGAGGTCCCATTCCTGTGGAGTTTATAGCCTATTTGGGGAGACACGCATGTTGAACAAATAATTCATTCAGGTTGTGATAAGCACTACAAAGGAGAAGTGTAAGTTGCTATGAAAGTTTATAGTGGAAGAATTTCATTTGCTATGGAAAGTCAGGAGGGCTTCCCTGAGGAAGTGATAACAGGAGATGGCTGGCCAAAGAGAGGAAGAAGAGCTTTCCAGAAGAGGAAGCACCATGGGCAAGGGCCTTGAAGTGAGGAGGAGCTGGGTGAGCTGCAGAGTTCCTCAGTGGGAGTGTGGTGGGTGTTTCGGGTGGGCGTTCTTCATTGTGTTGACTCCCCTCACATTGTTTAGCATTCCTGGCCCCTCACCCACTAAGTGCCAAGGGTAGCTTCGAGGTTTGCAATAACCAAAAACTCCCCCTCCTAGTTATTTCCAAACACCCCATGGAAGGGAGGTGCTACCGCCAGTTGAAAACCTCTGTGTTATAGGAACTAGAAGTTAGTTTGGAGCAAGGGGGTGTAGGATTCCAAGAGGGATGTCTGTAAAGGAAAAAAGTAATAGAACTCAGAGGTTGCCCGAGTGCACCTAAGATAAAAACATCAAGATACGGCATTATGAGCTGCTATTTATAATTAATTATGGTGGTAAATACCAAAATAAACAGCTGAAAGGGTTGAAGGTAGGGTGAGGGTCAGGAGTGAGGAGGGATAGGGCAGAGCAGGCACTGATGTTTTTATTTCTAAATCATATACTTTTATGATTTTATAAACTAGCTCAGGGAAGATTCAGGTTTTGTGGAGACCTGGTTAAGAAAACAATGCAAATTAAAAATACAAAATTGCTAGAGCTCCTTTCAGAAAAATGTCCATGCAAGCGAGAGGCCTGAAATATGCAAGCTTCATTTATTCATAGTAGATGAAAAAATATGAACATGTATTAATTTTATAAAAAATAAATGAGAAAAAATAGTATTATCAACTTCACTTATGTATTTTAATTATTTTTGATGTATGGAAGGTTCTTGAGACAATCATGTTATACTCACACTTTTCAGTCAGACTGAGTCATTATAACAAAATGACTAGCCCATAAAAAAATTCACTTTCCCATCCTCCCAGCCCCCAATAGTGGTCTACTTATATAACTTAGTCACTAAAGCCAGTGGTGAGTGCCATCAATTAGTGAGTGCCAGCAGCTCCAGCTGCAAAGATCAGAAGAAATGTTCTCTCACCTGACCAGAAGTCCTGAGGTGTAGGCATTTGCATGGCTGGCTAATTTTATCACTGGATAATTATCAGGGGCCCCAGTTCTTTCCCATCTTCCTGCTCTGCTACCCTTAGATATGAGCCTGGTTCTCAGCCCTCTGCTCCTCATGGTCACAAGATGACGACTGCAGTGCCAGGCATCATATCCAGATAACACAACACCCAGGGGAAGAAAGGGGCTGTTTGTGTCTCCTTAAGTCTCTCTCAAAGAGTGAGAAAACTTTTCCCCAAATTTCCAGCAGACTTTGTCTCACCACACATTGGCTGGTACCAACCCCACAGCTTTAGAGCTTTCACTGGGAAGAGGAATTGTAGGATGACCACACTTAGCTTGGACTGAACTGGATTTACCACCGGAGTCATGGGTGGGAGGTGGAAACCCAAATAAATCAGTACTCTGCCCTCAGGAAAAAGGGGGAGAAATAGCTGTCGGGGAAGCAACCAACAGGCACTGAAATAACCTGTGATTTGTGGTTTAAGAGCCAGCTAACCCACCTAGTTACGATGACAGGTAATTACTGTTTCCGTGTAATTTTCTTAAAGGTATTAAGAGATTTTTCTAAATATTACAACTGTGATGTTCACTTTTTCTTGAAGGCACAGAAAGTGAGTCACAAGACCCTGTGACAGAGAGTGATGATGGTGGCTTCAGCGAAGAGTGGGAAGCCCAGAGGGACAGTCGCCTGGGGCCTCATCACTCTACGGCTGAGTCGCGATCTGCTGTACAGGATCTTTCCAGCAGCATCGTGGCCAGTGACGACCCAGAGGAAAGTATGTGCCTTTCTCTACATTGTAAATTCATGGATTCCTTTAGGTGCTGCAGTATCAAATTCTCCCAAAATAAAATGAATCAAAGTGTTACAGTCTAATTCTAAACAGCAGTGCAGCTTTTAGTAGGAAATAATAGTTGGTGCTTTTCTCATAGTTAAATTTGTTAATGGACGAAATTCTGCACCTCAGATTTTTGAAATTATCCCTTTACAGCCTGATCTTTGGCATTGATTTTATAAGGTAAAAAAAAAAAAAATTTGATATTATTCTGATAAGACTTCATGTCTACAAAATTTTCATTAATATATTTCACTCTTGCTGCACAGAGACCTATGGATTTAAATGCTTCACCCTTTTACATTGTTACTGCCCTTTTCCGGCAAGCACTGTATTTTATTAATTTTAAAGAAAATCAAAGGGATATAGGTTCTCTGCAGAAATGTAAGAGTTTGTTCAGTGTCTAAGGTGTGCTGTCACTGGTATTCAGATCAGCACTTGGGGCTTCTTAGGATTTTAGCCAGTAGAGCCCCCTGGTTAGGGCTCAATCATCTCTTTATTTAGTCTTAGAGAGGTGATTTACTGAATAAGAAGAGATTAGCACATTTCCCAACTAAGTTACCCTCAATTTTTTCGTTTTCACAAAAGTGAAACACTTGATTAAAATATTACAGGGAAAATATTAAGTAGTTTCAAAGAAACAGACACCTAGATTCCTTAGCTTCTCTAATCACTATCAATTGTGACCTTGACCTTATCCTTCAGCTTGATCAGAACACTTCTTACAACTCACCATTAGTCTTTTATCTGGGTCAGAACCTGGGCAGATCCATGACTTTGGTGCTGGGAGAGTTTTCCAGATTTTAGAGCCATCTGCAGCCTGCAGCTTTCACACTCTGGGAAATCAGACAGAGTTGCCTCCGCTTATGGCCAGCCTTGAGCTTGCGTTTGTTGATATTTTCTCTGCCTTCAAAGTTATCACTGTAATTAGTTGCCTCTTCTCTTCCTTTCCTCTTTTCTCAAAGATGCATACAGCCAAAAGAAAGAAATATAGCTGTTAAGCATAGCTGCAGTGTGATTCTTTCACGACTGCCTTTCCTACTTGAAGATTCTCTCTCCTGATCATCTCTTCGTGTCCTTCTATTCATCTCTTTTTTTTTTTTTTAAGAAAAACCCAAGTATTGCCCCTTCTAACTTCAGATTAATATTTTCTTTATCTGGGACCAATATAAACTAATAATTGATATTCTTTCCTTATCTTAGCATCCAGAACACACATAACCATATCTGTTTGCATTAGTGTGTTAAAACAGAGTTGTTACTTACAGAAAAGTCTCAGTTTACAATAGAATTTGACATGTAAAGGCACATGTGTCTTCCAGAACAACCTTTTAAAAATCAAAAATTAATCAGAAAGCCTGAGAGTTTTTAATTAGAAATGTAAAACATATTTATTCAATGTGCAGTTGGTCTTCTAGTGAATTTCAAACTACACTTCTTCCAAACATCATGCCAATAACAAGCTTCAGTGTTCTACCGATAGATTTTAAATTTATCAGAGTAGTGAAATTAACCTGTTGTTTCCAGTAGAAATTTAACTCATAGAGGTTCTTTTTCTATAACCTCAAGGGAAGAGTGGGAGATGGATTTTGTTATTTTCTTCAAGTGGAGGAAGAGGTTTTAGTAGTTAAAACACAAAATAATAAATTTCAGGAAGTTTTTTTATGTTTCTGTTTATTAAAAAGATAGTAGGAAATATTCATTATTTTATTATGTTATAGTTACATTTAAGCTAGGCATATATTCTGCTAGATGTCCTGTAGCAAAATCTTACAATTAAAGTAAATATTCACCATCATTTATTATTTTTACCATGTCTTATGTTTGGTAGACCTGCAAATGCCCCTTTTAATACGAAAGGAACTCCATCATTACTTAAAATTATTTTTCAGAGTGGCCAAAACAAAGCAAAACAATAGGAGACCTAGATAGCAGTAAAACAACTAGCATCCAATCTCAGCATTAGCACTTGGCAGTGGAATACTGATAATACTTTATGTCTAACTTAAGCGCTTTCCATTGCTGTGATTTTAGTTGTTTTGGCCATGGCGTATCTTTACTGAATAAATCAAAGAAGCTGTTTAAAGAAAACATACTCCCGAGCAACATGATTTTTCTTAGGTTTTATATACTGATTCATGCAGTCTCTTCTTGTTATGGAATATAACTTGTTGCTTCAGTAAGTGCCTAAAGAAAAAAAATTGATGGTTACTTCTTTGTTTCCTGACTCTTTTAATTTTGCTAATAAAATATATCTATATTTCTCTCTCCATTAAAATGAATTCTGTAGAATATAACTAGCATTTGCCATAATATTATTATTTAAACAAACATAAGCCTTTAAATGAAAAAAATGCGAGGCTATAATTTTAAGCTTGATTTGGTACATTATTATTATTATTATTATTATTTTATTTATTTATTTTTTTTTTGCGTTACGCGGGCCTCTCACTGCTGCGGCCTCTTCCGCTGCGGGGCACAGGCTCCGGACGCACAGGCTCAGCGGCCACGGCTCACGGGCCCAGCCGCTCCGCGGCACGTGGGATCCTCCTGGACGGGGGAACGAACCCGCGTCCCCTGCATCGGCAGGCGGACCCCCAACCACTGCGCCACCAGGGAAGCCCCCGGTACATTATTTTTATTTTTTGATATCTCTGTTGAGACATAATTCGCATACTATACAATTCACCCATTTAAAGTGGTGACATTAGTATATTCACAGAATTGTTCAACCATCACCACAGTTGATTTTAGAACATTTTCAACACCCCATAAAGAAACCCCATACTCCTTAACATCACCTCTTCAATCCCTCTCATTCCCAGCCATTTAAAGTGGACAATGCAATGGTTTTTGTTTTTTTTAATAAATTTATTTATTTATTTATTTATTTATTTATTTATTTATTTATGGCTGTGTTGGGTCTTTGTTGCTGTGTGCGGGCTTCCTCTAGTTTCGGCGAGAAGGGGTGCACAGGCTTCTCATTGCAGTGGCTTCTCTTGTTGTGGAGCACAGGCTCTAGGCGTGTGGGCTTCAGTAGTTGTGGCACATGGGCTCAGTAGTTGTAGCTCGTGGGCTCTAGAGCTCAGGCTCAGCAGTTGTGGCGCACGGGCTTAGTTGCTGTGTGGCATGTGGGATCTTCCTGGACCAGGGCTTGAACCTGTGTCCCCTGCACTGGCAAGCGTATTCTTAACCACTGCGCCACTGGGGAAGTCCGCGATGGTTTTTATGAGAGTTGTGCAACCATCACCACATGCTAATGTTAGAATATGTTCATTACCTCAGAAAGAAACCCTGTACCCATTACCCCTATTCCCCCCAGCACCAACAAATACATTATCATAATAAATTTGCCTCTTCTGGACATTTCATATAAATGGAATCATACAATATATGGTTCTTTGTACTGATTCCTTTCATATAGCATTATGTTTTCAGGGTTTTTTTATGTTGTAACATGTATTAGCGTTTCATTTCTTTTTATAGCCAAATAATATTCCATTGTATGGATATGTCACATTTATCATCCGTTCATCAGTTAATGGGCATCTAGATTGTTTCCATTTTGAGCTATTATGCATAGTGTTGTGTGAACATTCATGTACACATCTGTGTGGACACATGGTTTTATTTCTCTTAGGTATATACCTACAAGTAGAATTACTGAGTCATATGGTAACTCTATGTTTAACCTTTTGAGGAACTACCAGACTGTTTATCAAAGTGTCTGCACCATTTTACATTCCCACCAGCGGTGTATGAATGTTCCAATTTTTCCACAGCCTCACCAACACTTGTTATTATTTGTCTTTTTGATTATAATCATTCCTAGTGGGTGTAAAGTGGTATGTCATCAGGGTTTTGATTTGCATTCTTCTGATGACTAATAATGTTGAGTATCTTTTTGTGTGCTTATTGGCCATTTGTATATTTTTTTGGAGAACTGTCTATTCAGATCCATTGCCCATTTTGGGGGTCCTTTTTTTATTATTGAGTTGTAATAGTTTTTTATGTATTCTCTAGACACAAGTCTCTTATCAGAGAAATGCAAAATGTTTCTTCTGCATTATTTTTTAAAATTCATTTCTATAGCATTTTTTTCTGAACAACTTAGTTTCTTTCAGTTAGTTTCTTTTTTTTTAACTTATTTATTTATTTATTTTTGGCTGCTTTGGGTCTTCGTTGCTGTGCGTGGCTTTCTCTAGTTGCGGAGAGTGGGGGCTACTCTTTGTTGCAGTGTGCGGGCTTCTCATTGCAGTGGCTTCTCTTGTTGTGGCGCACAGGCTCAGTAGTTGTGGCACATGGGCTTAGTTGCTCCGCGGCATGTGGAATCTTCCCGGACCAGGGCTCGAATCCGTGTCCCCTGCATTGGCAGGTGGATTCTTAACCACTGCATCACCAGGGAAGTCCTCAGTTAGTTTCTTATAGTACTTACTATTTGGAATCAAAAGTATTTCTAAGGCTGTCATTTGTTTAGCCTCTATGTGTGCCAAGAACTTTTCCTATATTATTTTTAATGCTGATACCAACCTTGTGAAATAGCTCTGTAATCCCCATCTTGTAGCTGAAGAATTTGAGGATTAAAGAAGTTAGTAAACTTGCCCTGGATTACACTAGTACCTAAACAGTAGAGTTGGACTCTTCTCCACAACTGAAACTGGTGAAAGTATTCATCAGTCTGGGAAGGTTAGCAAGTTAAAGGATAACTGACCATGTAATTCATAGCATCGGATTTCAGGGTTGTATGTTTATTTTTTCCACTGTGGAAGACTTTGCTCTGGCTTCCACGATTTAAAAAGAACAATGGTTTCTCAGTAAGATCTTTTTTTTTTTTTTTTTTTTTTTTGGCTGGGTTGGGCCTTCGTTGCTGTGCGCAGCCTTTCTCTACTTGTGGCGAGCGGGGGCTACTCTTCGTTGCGGTGCGTGGGCTTCTCTTGTTGCAGAGCACAGGCTCTAGGCACATGGGCTTAGTTGCTCTGTGGCATGTGCCATCTTCCTGGACCAGGGATCGAACCCGTGACCTCTGCATTGGCAGGCGGATTCTTAACACTGCGCCACCAGGGAAATCCCTCTCAGTAAGATCTTATTAATCAGAACTCTGCCCCTTTCTCCCGCAGACTCTGCTTCTCAAGGCCCTCAACACCTATCTTCCAGAAGTAGTTTCTGTAACTCAGGCAACAAAACTTTAAGATCAGGATCACACTTCAGTTAGGAATAGTTACATAACAACCAGAAAGGTAAAAGCCAATAGTAAAGCTTAATGGGTTACTGTTGAGCCCCAAGTCAAAGCATATTTTATTTATTTATTTATTTGTTTGTTTGTTTATTTTTAAAAAACGTACATGTTCATTGTGGAATTTTTTTTTTTTAAATAAATTTATCTATTTACTTTTGGCTGTGTTGGGTCTTCGTTGATGCACGCGGGCTTTCTCTAGCTGTGGTGAGCCGGGGTTACTGTTTGTTGCAGTGTGCGGGCTTCTCATTGTGGTGGCTTCATTGTGGTGGCTTCTCTTGTTGCGGAGCACAGGCTCTAGGCTTGCAGGCTTCAGTAGTTGTGGCTCGCAGGCTCTAGAGCACAGGCTCAGTAGTTGTGGCACACGAGCTTGGTTGCTCCGCGGCATGTGGGATCTTCCCAGATCAGGCCTCGAATCTGTGTCTCCTACCTTGGCAGGCGGATTCTTAACCACTGCGCCAGCAGGGAAGTCCAAATCTTTTTTTTTTTTTTTTTTTTTTTTTTTTCTTTTTTCCTCTTTTACATTCAGGCTCTGTTTTACCTTGTTAATTCATTCTTATTGATTCATTTATATTTTTATTTCTTCCTAATAAATCTTTTATTTTTCTAATTTTATTTTATCCTTTATATTTTATTGTTCTCTCCTTTTGGCTTGTTCCCCCCAAACCCCCATTTTTTTTTCTCTTGTGGTTTTATTCTACCCTGTTGCAGTTGTTTCAATTATATTTCTAGTTTTCCTAATATATATTTTTTTCTTTTTTTTGCGGTACGCGGGCCTCTCACTGTTGTGGCCTCTCCCTTTGCGGAACACAGGCTCCAGATGCGCAGGCTCAGCGGCCATGGCTCTCGGGCCTAGCCTCTCCAAGGCATGTGGTATCTTCCTGGACAGGGGCACGAACCCGTGTCCCCTGCATTGGCAGGCAGACTCTCAACCACTGCGCCACCAGGGAAGCCCCATATTTTTAAATACATAGTTTGTTTATCATTTTGAAAAGAACTTGAAAAGTTAAAAATAATGTTTGACAACAGAAAACCTAGGGCCTTTGCATTTCTGTGTATGTTTTAGGATCAGCTTGTCAATTTCTACAAGCTGATCCTAAAATTTTTTGGAAGTGTAAAGAACTTAGAATACCCAAAACAAATTTGAAAGAGAAGAAAAAAGTTGGTGGACTTAAGCTATCTGATTTCAAAACTTACTCTAAAGCCTTAGTAATCAAGGACAGACATATAAATCAAAGAAACAACTGAGAGTCCAGAAGTAAAGCCTTATATTTATGATCAATGATTTTTTACAAAGGTGCTAAAATAATTCAATGCCAAAAGGATATAATCTTTTCAACAAATGGTGCTGGGACAATTGAATATCCACATGCAAAAGAATGAATGGAAACCCCTGTCTCACCGTATCCATCATGCACACAATCCAAAATTAACCCCAAATTGGTCATAAACTAAAATGTAAGTGGTAAAACTCTAAAACTTCTAGAAGAAAACGTAGGAGAAAAACTTCATGACCTTGGGTTGGGCAAAGAGTTCCTTAATATAACAGTGATACATAGAAGAAAAAATTGATAGATTGGACTTTGTCAAAATTGAAAACTTTCACACTTCAAAAGATACCATTAAGAGAAGTATTTAGGGAATTCCCGGGCAGTTCAGTGGTTAGAACAACGCGCTTTCACTGCCAAGGGCACCGGTTTGATCCCTGGTTGGGGAACTAAGATCCCACAAGCCACACAGAGAGGCCAAAAGAAAAAAAGAGAGAGAGAGAGAAGAGGTATTTATATACCCGTGTTCATAGCACTGTTCACAATAGCCGTGAGACGGAAGCAACCTAAGTGTCCACTGGCTGATGAATGGATAGACAAAGTGTGGTGCATACATACAATGGGATATTATTCAGCTTTAAAAAGGAAGGAAAATCCAATACATGCTGCAGCATGGATGAGCCAGGACATTATACTAAGTGAAATAAGCCAGTCACAGTAAGACAAATACTGTATGATTCCACTTAAGTGAAATACCTGGAGTAGTCAAACTCAGAGATGGAGAGTGGAATGGTGGTTTCCAGGGGCTGGAGGGAGAGAGGAAGGAGGAGTTACTGTTTAATGGGTACAGAGGTTCAGTTTTGCAAGATGAAAAGAGTTCCGTGGATGGATGGTGGTGATGGTAGCACAATATGAATGTACTTAATGCCATTGAACTGTGTATTTTACCACAATTTAAAAAAAATAGATACCATTAAGAAAAGGAAAAGGAGCCACAGACTGAGAGAAAATATTTGCAAATCATTGCAAATCCTGTTAAAGGATTTATAGTTAGGGTATACAGAGAATGCTTACAACTCAGTAATAGGAAGATAACCTAATTAAAAAATATGGTAACACTATGGGTAGATATTTCCCCAAAGGAGAGATATAATGGCTAATAAGCACATGAAAAATACTCAACATTATGAATCAGAATGGCTATAATCAAAAAGACAGCAATGCCAAGTGCTGGTGAGGACTGAAGAAGCTGGAACCCTTGTGCACTGCTGGTGGGAATGTACTGGTACAGCCAGTATGGAAAACAGTTTGGCAGTTTCTCAAAAGGCTAAACATAAACTTACCATATAACCCAACAGTTCCACTCCTAGGGATCTACCCCATGGAAATGAAAGCAGTCTGCCCACACAAAGATGTATGCACTGATGTTCGTAGCAGCATTATTCATAATAGCCCAAAACTGAAAATAATCTAAATGTCCATCAACTGGTAAATGGATAAACGAAATATAGTATATCCATACAATGAAAAACTGTTCACCAGTGAAAAGCAACAAACTACAGACACATACAATGTCATGGATAAACCTAAAAAATGTTATGTTAATACAGATGACCAACAGGCATATGAAAAGATGCTCAACATCACTAATCATTAGAGAAATGCAAATCAAAACTACAATGAGGTATCACCTCACACCGGTCAGAATGACCATTATCAAAAAGTCTACAAATAATAAATGCTGGAGAGGGTGTGGAGAAAAGGGAACCCTCCTACACTGTTGGCGGGAATGTAAATTGGTGCAAGCCACTATGGAGAACAGTATGGAGGTTCCTTAAAAAACTAAAAATAGAGTTACCATAGGATCCTGCAACCTCACTCCTGGGCATATATCTGGAAAAGACGAAGACTCTAATTAAAAAAGATACATGCACCCCAGTGTTCATAGCAGCACTATTTACAATAGCCAAGACGTGGAAGCAATCTAAGTGTCCACTGACAGGAGAATGGATAAAGAAGATGTGGTATATATACACGATGGAATATTACTCAGCCATATAAAAGAATGAAATAATGCCATTTGCAGCAACATGGATGGACCTAGAGATTATCATACAGAGTGAAGTAAATCAGACAGAGAAAGACAGATATCATATGATATCACTTATATGTGGAATCTAAAATATGATACAAATGAACTTACATACAAAACAGAAATAGACTCACAGGCATAGAAAACAAACTTATGGTTACCAAAGGGGAAAGTGTGGGGCAGGGAGGATAATTTAGAAGTTTGGGATTAACAGATATACAGTACTATATTTAAAGTAGATAAACAACAAGGACCTACTGTATAGCACAGGGAGCTATTTTCAATATCTTGTAATAACCTATAATGGAAAAGAATGTTAAAAAAAAAAAATATATATATATATATATATCTGAATCACTTCGTTGTACACCTGGAACTAACACAACATTGTATGTCAACTATACTTCCATTTTAAAAAATTATGTTAAATGAAAGAAGCCAGTCACAAAAGACTTAATATTGTATGAGTCCATTTCTGTGCAGTGTCTAGAAAAGGCAGATTTATAGAGTTAGAAAGCAGATCAGTGGTTGCTTAAGGCCTGGGAGGGGAGTAGAGATTAACTGTAAATGAACACAAGGTATCTTAATTGGGGTGATGGAAATATGGTGGATTGTGGTGATGGTTGCACAGTTTTTTCAGTCATTGAATTGTACATTTTACAGTGGGTGCATTTTATGAAATAAATTATACCTCAGTAAAGCTGTTTTTCAAAAAAAAGTAGATGATACCTATCTCATAGGGGTTCTTGTGAGGATTTATTAGAACAAGTGCAGGTATAAATTAGGCATTCAGTAGATGACAATTATTATTTATTGTTATTATCTTTGCTATATAACAGCAGCATCTACTGTTAAGACACCAGAGTTAGCCACATAACATCTGAACCTCCTGTTATAGAAAACCAAAAAAGAAAGGGAAAACGTAGCTAAAGCCTAATTTTGTATGTTATCATTTACTGACTTCTCATTCAGCATAGGATGGGGGGCGGGAGGCAGCAACAGTTTTGAATTGTGAAGTCATAGCAAAGAGTGACAAACTTTCTTTTTTTTAAGAGTGACAAACTTTATATTTTTATAATCTTTCCTTTTTAGGGGGAGTAAAACTTGGATTAGGAGATTTCATTTTCTACAGTGTTCTGGTTGGTAAAGCTTCTGCAACAGCCAGTGGAGACTGGAACACAACCATAGCCTGTTTTGTAGCCATATTAATTGTAAGTATACACAGATTAAAAACGTGTCAGAACTCATCTCAAAATTCTGATTAAAAGGTGGTCCTTTTAACCCCAGCTAGGCTGAGTGTTCCAATCACCTGGGGAGCTTTTTTAAAAACACAAATAATTGGACCTCACCTGAGTAATTCTCTACCTGGCCACACATTAAAATCACCTGGGAGCTTTTAAAACTGTGGGTCTCTACCCTGAGATATTAGTGGGCTGGCCAAAAAGTTCGTTCAGGCTTCTCCATAAGATGTTATGGAAAACCGAAATGAAGTTTTTGGCCAACCGAATATTTAATTTGTTTTAATTGTGTGTGTTTTTTAAAGTTCCCCAGGAAATTCTGGTAAGTACCTCTGAGTAGGAACCATTGCTTCAAGCCCAGCAGCGTAGATAATGTAAGGAATTAGATCAGTCTTAAAGGGGTAAGCAGATCCTCACTTAGTCTGCGTTTGGTGGTGGTTTTGTGTGTAAGGCCACGACCTGCAGCATACAGTGTCCTTTGGGCAGTAAGTATGAGGCAAGAAAAGCTAACTCAGTGCACGATCACACATAGATTTTGCTTATAGTGCTACAACGTGAGCCTGAAGCTTTCAAGACAATGAGTTAAGTAAATAACTCATATTTCTTATTGCTATTTTTGCTAAAGATGTGATATCTTTGATATATGTGAGTGAAGTTGGATGAGAGGTTAGACGAGAGCCTTTACTTATGCATTTATTTTATGATTACACTTGTGATTTATCTTGATCATATGACCAGTTAGAATTTTCATTTATTTCTCTTTTGAGGTTAGTTTTCTGGATGTGTTGAAGCTTTTAAGAAGAAAATTACTTACTTTGGATAAACCTTAAATGCAGCTCACCCTCCAGACTTTATAGTTAATGTCTCAGTAACTAGGATAAAAAATGGGGTGTATTATATAGCTGCTCTGTGTTTATAAGAAAACAGTATACACTTTATAAACAAACTTTTATTGGTTTATTCCATGAGCACCTTTTTTGCCCCCAGACAGCATAAAGAATGTTCTTCACCTCTGGGATTTTTAGGTAGCCAAACTAAACCTACAGTAGCCAACCCAGTAGTTTAGATAGAAATTTCAGTATTGTTTATTTGTTTTCAAAAATAATTTTACTTATTTTCAGATTCTATTCCCTATCTAGAATTAGGGATGAAATATCAACAATGTATGGATAATGATCTCTGTTGCAAAGGAAAATAAATGTTGTTTCCAGATTTAATGAAAAAATTTTGTTCTAAAAGTTAACATCAAAGGATTGTATTGAATTAACTAAATTAAAACTGAGACTTGTGATTGAGTTGATTTGCACAAAATACTTGCATAATTATGTCTGGGTTTGTGTCTTTTCCCCTCTTCTCCACAGGGTTTGTGCCTTACATTATTGCTCCTCGCCATTTTCAAGAAAGCATTGCCAGCTCTTCCAATCTCTATCACCTTTGGGCTTGTTTTCTACTTTGCCACAGATTATCTTGTGCAGCCCTTTATGGACCAATTAGCATTCCATCAGTTTTATATCTAGCATATTTGCAGTTAGAATCTCATGGATTTTTCTCCTTTGACTATAACAAAATCTGGGAAGGACAAAGGTGATTTTCCTGTGTCCACATCTAACAAAGTCAAGATTCCCAGCTGGACTTTTTGCAGCTTCCTTCCAAGTCTTCCTGACCACCTGCACTATCGGGCGTTGGAAGGAGGTGTCTACAGAAAATGGTTTTGAACATGTCATTGTGGTAGACTGAGTCCCTCAGTGCAGAAACTGCCAGATTTGAGGGACAAGAACAAGGCAAAGTGATGAGCCAGAAAGTTGCTGTGCTCCCACCAGCAGGTTGACCTTTGGTCACAGGTGGATCTTACCAACGCTGCAGACTCTCAGGACTACCATTACCAAGAGGTTAAATGAAATGGTTTAAACCAAACAGGACTCTTCATCTTAAACTACATGTTGAAAGTCAACCTAATAAATCTGTATTGAATTCTGAAGCTTTTCGTGAGATACTGTAAGGAGAGCAGGCACCAGAGCAAAATGGAAAGATGGAAAGGGGCTCAAACTTTCATATTTTTTGCTGCAGACTTACCATTTTTAAATAAGACTTTTTTTCACCTGAGGTGTAGGTTGATTTTGACATTTGTTCTCAAGCACTGAAGCTCATTACCATCTATGGCTGCCATTTCTTCCCAAGGCCAGTCTCAACTTATTTGAGGTTGCTTTATCTTAAAAGTCTTAACCTCAGGTTCCAAATGCAGTCATTTATTTCTGGAAAGAGT